TGGGCACGCGGATTTGCCAGATATCCGTTTCAACGACTGTATTTCTGATTGCGCGCCTGTCGCGAATCCACGTACCGACGCAGCGATAAATAAGCCGCTTATGCGGTAATCCTAATCCCCGTAACTCCTCCCCCCCTCCCCCCTCCCCCCTTCCTCCCTCTCTCTGTCTCTCCCTCTCTTCTCTCAGAGAGACGTGTATAGTGGTGTGGAATGCATGTATTAACCAAAGCCAAGAAAGAGAAAGGACGAGGCGGGAGACGTGGGGAGATTCTCTTGGATAAGCATGTCGCTAAAATGACGATGATGATGATGCCAGCGAGAAAACAAGCCTCGGTGAAAGAGGACAGACATCAATGTATGCAGTATAGGATATACATCTTGTCTTCCGACTACGGCGGACTTTGACTGATCGTGGATCGAGGACGACGTTGCGTTTTGATTTCGCGCTGCGTCTTATTTGCGAATCCCACGGGACTCGTGTTAAATCTCATTTGACGCTTCCGCCGTGCCGAATAGCTCTAAGCTATGCGGTTCTAAAGCGTAACTTCGTAAAGCCCGTGATATTAATGCAGGAGTTAGTCGGTAGGAATCTACGGTAGACATTTAAGACATTCATAATTCAAACCGCTATGTCGCTCTTTGGGACTGGAAGAGCAAATCAATGCTCTCCCTCCCTCCCTCCCTCCCTCCCTCCCTCCCTCCCTCTCTCTTTCTCTCTCTCGTCGTTTCGAAAACCGTGTTTCTCAATAATCAGTAATATTCGCAAAGAAATTAGTTGTCTTTTTAGTTTTGCTTTTATCTACATTGTTACGTGCCAGTGCAGAACGTAAATTGCACTCATTCAAGTTAGTGTTCCGATTATCGCGCGTCTATCGTAAAGTTGTGGTTCCCCCGCTAATCATATCGTTGTAATCTGACCGCATCCCGTTGCCGGATGTAATCTCTTAACCTTGCACTTCAGCTGTCGACTTCCTAGTTATGTACGATATGCTCGATATGTGCAAGCGACACAGAGTCCAAGAATTTAATCCGTACCGTGTGTGCAGGGATACACACACCGTGCGAGGCCGCCATTTCATTACCGGTTTATTACGTTACCGAATTAGGTCGAGGTTTTACGAGGTGAACTTTACATTGCACGACTGTGCCGATGAAGCTGCGGCGACTTTACGAGCATCGTTCATCGGAAAGGACATCGTCCCGTTGGCGACATCCGCTTCTGCCGCCGAGAAAATGTGCATTCCTGTGCGCAACCTTTTATTATTTATTATTCCCATAATCTTGGAAGAAGCTAACAACATCTTCATTTTCTTGTTTATTACGTATGCAAAGGAGAAAGAGAAAAATTTTTGATTTCTTTCTCTTTTTATATCGTAAGCATTGGTTATATTATGAATAAACGTTGATTAACGTGAATAAATTAGAGTAGTGTTAAAAAAACTCGATTATATAAGATTATAATACTAACAAAAACTAATTAATTGGAATTTCAGCATGTTCATCATATTTCCAGGAAACTAATTAACATTAATTTATTTATCATCTCAAACTTATAATTTTATAATTATATTTATCTTGTTAATTTATTTACTTTTGTAGGAAATAAAAGGACTTGTGTCCTTCCCTCTTTTACTTCAGTCAATTAATAAATTCATGCACATGTAAGCTTTAATAACAAAGATTATATTTTCATTATTTTTTACACGTGATTTGATCCGTGCTCCGAGATACAAATTCGAAGTACGCTTATCTTTAATTAAAGTAACTTGAATAGCAGGCATGCTCGCTGCAAATTGCACTTTTCGGCCTATACTGGTATCTTAGCCTTAAACTTTAGTAACTATATTATATTTTCGAAAATAAATTAGCACGCTTGTTTATATCGACAACTTTTTGCTTTATAATTACTTATCCTATATATTCTCTATTCTTTTCTATTTATAAGCAAAAAGAATTAACATTTCTTCTCGTTTTATCGATATTAATCTATTAGAAATTTGATTTGTGGCTTCCGATATTCAATTGTAATATTTATTTTTATCTCTTATCATTTCTTGTTTTGTCGCATTCTATTACTATGTCAAGATTATTGTAATTCATGAGGATTTTATTTGACAGTTTTAATTACATTTTTCAATGAAAATTTGGTCAGCCACAAATGTACGAAATGGTACTTTAGATTTATTAACATCTAAAATTTATCAATGTATATTGTTAGAAATTTGGTACACGTCAAAATATTAAATTCTCATATCACTATCGTATTATTATTACGTTCTACAATGCAATTGTTACATAACGGAAAACGGTTATATTTGTTATTAATTATTATCCTTTAATAAGCCGTTATGCAAATTAAATAATAGATTTAAATAACAATTTATAAACGTAATACACAGCTCAGGCAAAAAATTATAATAATTTTTTCTTTGAAATAGAGATAATATAAAATACACAAAAATATATAATGTTTGCTATTATCCAGTTATCATTAATTTACAAGTTATATTTACAAGAAATATTTTTATTATTTTTTGATAAAAATTATTATTTATATATGATTATAAATGCTGTTTTTATAAATATTAACAGAAAAGGATTCTCACTAGTCTTATTATTATCCATTATTTTTTATAAATTTTTAATAAATTAAAGCTGTAATTGGCAAAAGGAAGATATAATTATAACAGTTAATCGAATAAACTCGACTTTCAAAAACTGAAGACTTCGAAATTTAGATATTAGTAAAACCGAAGAAAGTTTATCAAAGTTTTCATCAAAATCGAAAAGAACAAAGAGAGAGAGCTTATGAATATCTACAAAAAAAAAAAAAAAAAAAACAACATCGATGTTATACGCAAGATTATTGGGAATCGTTTCAATTAAGCTGTAAATTTACTTCTCAGCTGTATTTATTTCTCATTTCATTTATATCATTGGTTGAACTGCCTCGCGGAACTCACAATTACATGTCTATTCGAGCGATCGAACTATGAAATAATCCATCTCGCCGTTGTTAGATAGCAGACTTTTATCGCATTTCCAACTGCGCCGATCGATTCGGAACGAGGAAGTTCCGCTTCTTCGTACTGGCAAACGAGATCATTACGAGAGGTGCTTTACGTAGATTACTCGATTCCCTAAGTAGATTTCTCAAATTAGGCGATATAACTTAATCAGATGGAAGCTCTGTACGCACTGACTGACTCCATGCTTTTATTCCATTCGTTTTTACAGAATACTCTTTATTATGTCCGTGATTTAACGAATCATAATATATTAATTATTTTCGTAGTTTAAAAATCTGTTTGTGATCTTTATTAAGATTCTTAGATAGAGTTGTGATCGGTAGTATCAGAAATTAAATGTTATAAAAGCAAATAGGCAAAATAGCTTTCTTATGTTATTATTACTTTCTTTCTTTCTTTCTCTTTGTCTATTTATTTATCTAGTAATATAATTTATTGAATTGAAAACATTGAATATTGGACACAAATTTTGCGATAGTTTAAGAATTCACTTTTTAGATGCGTTTTATGATTGAGTAGTATTTATGTATGTGTATGTGTGCATGTATATTTCATAAACATTTTATATCCAAAAATATTTTATAATAAAAACATATGTTGTTTTTACGAATCTAAACTTTTCCTATTCGTTTCTCGTAAAAGTCTTTGAAATGTAAAGTCCGCGTGGCATTTTACGTGACGTACGATATACATGACTCGCGATTAGTCAATAAAGGTAATTTTTCTCACGATATTTTTCTATCGGGAGAAAAAAATTTTCTCGGTCGACCCGAGCCATCGGAAAAGTCTAAAATACAGCGAAAGGAAAACGTCGGAACAAACAGCGGTAGCGGGACGCGTTCGTTCGTCATGGATACAAATCCGCCCATTCAATGTTCACGAAGGAAGGAAGGAAGAAAGAAAGATTAAAAAAAAAGCTCTCGGTAGGCTTTTTGGATACCTGCCAAAAACTCCGGACTCGAAAATGGAAGTTCGCAGTAGAATTCAACACGCCAACGAGCTTTAGGCGAGACACATAGCAAAAGAATACACCGTAGCGATCGTCATCCCATTTCGCCGGGATTGCAACCAGCAGCGCAGCGTAGAAAACGAAGATCAAATTATTTCGGTATATCTAAATTCCAGTTTCCAGCCCGACTTTAGATTACGAACTTGGGGAAACCGCATCGGGGATAAGACGGGGAAGCTTTTCCAGAACAGAAACCTATAATTAGGGAAGGTGCTCGTTTTGAAGCCGACGGCGAGTTTCACAGGTATTATACGCGTGTCCTTAAAGAGATAACTGCAATTACAGGATAAAAACAGGAAGGTACTGAAAAAGATGTTTGACAAACCTGATTGTTTGATATAACGAGCGGTACGTCATTGGCATCTCACGGACATACCCGTGACTGATATGTGTGTGTGTGGGGTGGGGGGGAGGAGGGGGGGGGAACGTTGAATAATTTATCGTGCAATATTATCCCGTCGTGATGTACGTAGACAATTTCCCGCTTTTAAAAGATGCAAAAGAGATGTGACGTTTAAACGTACAAGTGTCCAGAGACTCTTTCGAAAGTTACGCTCTTCGCAATGCTCTTATCGATTGATATATTACAAGTGAGAATGAGGGAAAGTTGAAATTGTTTGCAGTCTTCCG